AAAAGAACTTTTGTATCGTTGTTAAACTATTATTATTGTGAATCAATGCAGTGTACATATCATAGAAGGGAGCCCATTCGGTATATACACCTGAGAATACTGGTACGTTTAATGCTGCTAGTTTCATCAGCGGTACGGCGTTGCTCGTCTCTCTCACATTGATTTTTTCTTTTTCTACCTGTGTATCGATTGACGAACTTTCTTTCGCTTCTAACTGTTGAAGTCTCTCTTCCRCAATAGCCAWGGCCTTAAAATATAATTCTTCAAATTCTAATTGATATCCTTCATGTTCGCCTGCATCTTCGTCAGCTCGAATCTCTGACTGTACCTGGTGAAACTCCTCCCACACATCTTCAATCTTCGATCTTCGCATACTGATTTGTTTAGGATCATTGTCCGTAACAKACACATAATTCCAAAAACGCGTTAGATTACCTTTGAGTTGTCCTCGCCTTGATATTAGATTGCTTCCCATTTTGCCGTTATAAATTAATATAATAAATACGCGATAGTCGACAATTGATAATTTACGATGTGTCGAAGGATAAGAGAAATAGGCTATAACACGATATAACGAAATTGTGATTAATTTGCAGTCTATTTACTTCTTCGCAATAAAATTATAGCGGTCGAAGTCTACTGATAAGCATTTATCCATACGCTTTCGAACGTTTTAAGCGTTTATTCTATACGGCGGACTAATATTGAAAYGCTTCGAATCTAATTTATCGCATTTATTTCAGGCTTAGGCTGTGATACTGTGTATATAACGCGGCCGATTACACACACTGTATAAATTAGGAAGGGGACTTTGGAAATTTTACAAACGTATTTTAAAATACTAGAAAATTGAGACTCTCTTACCTTACATCTGTCTTCAATATGATGACCTTGACGCAGCAATCGGCTMTCYTTAATATTCTTGACCAGGCMCACGTAAAATWACAATATTCGACGAACGCAATATTGTATTCTTTAACAGCATATATTCGTGAGAATATATTCAAACGTATATTCTTTCGACAGAGCTATAAGTTATATTATGCTCATAAATACGATGAAAACCAGAAACGTATACGCGAATATACTTTGGCATTTATAAGACGATCGAAAATATATTTTACGCCACTAGCAACCCTT